GCCGTACATGAACATTTCGGATGAGTCATTTGAAATTGTCAGGGTAGTTAGGATTATCCAATGTATTGTGATAACTCAGAACCATCGGGGATTAAAGGATACTTTTGGGTTTGGGGTTTATTGTTGTCACTGGAACGGAGCAATGGGGTAGGCAATTCTAGGTCGGGGATCAAAAATAGGAGAGATGTCAAGAAGATACTGGAAAGCACTATACCATGAGGTACATCGTGGCCAGAATATCAGGCAGATAAGAGTAGTTACGCTTTCCAACCACCGCAGGCAGGTGACACTACCCAGTTTCAAAAACCAAACCTGCATCAAGGTGGCGAAAGTGCAAAATGGCGGTATGCAACGAATGCATACTAGATCGGCCTTACATGGATTTGAGCGACGTGCACTAGTTAAACGATGCAAGACCAATGTTGGGGCTAGTTATATAATCGCTCATGAACTGAATTGAAAAGACAGAAATGTAAGTGAACGGTTTTTCAAATCGTGGTTGATGCTGATGCTATTTATACAAACTCGCAAAAAGTTTCTTGTTAGTTCGTCTCATACAAAGTGAACCTGCACGATAAATACCCCGTTTTCGACTGTATAGTTATACACAGTCGCTAAATGACGCTCTAGATATCACTGATTTGTGTCAACAACACTCTCACCGCATGCTTGTAGAGACCGTGTAAGGCGCCGCGGAATGTATATAAGAATCGTTACACTCTAGACAAAGACGGAGCGGGACTGTAACGAACACTCAAAAACGCTGTTGCAGTGCACATGGACCAAATTAAAGTTCTGTTGGTTATTAAAATCCTACAGAGCCCGTAGCACTTGTAAACTGCTCTTTTTCATGCTCAGTATCATCTTCTTTTTTCCCATCATTACCAGTCACATCGCTGTACAAAAGTTTGTTTTACTGAAATACAACCGCTACCGCCCGCGCGTTGGCTCCAACGTGACTTTGAGACTTCTGCTGAGTGACTGTTGTTGTGACCGCCGGTTAGCTATATCTGACCGCTGCTAATACTAAACGTGAACAAACATTTCAGCTACAAACGCTGGACTAATATATTCACGCTTGTGGAATAATATTTCGATCACCGGAGATCTGGGATACCAGGAAGATAGAACTATTCTTTGTGTGGTGGTTCAACGGAATACGGAACTACGGAATCTCCTATTTTGAACTGTGAGTCAAGATTTACTTGTATTTTTCTCTTTGTGACTTTGTATCTGGCTTACATCAGTAATCTGTTCAGTTCACTAGAGACTCCATAGGGCCGTTAACCACTACAAAACTTCCATGAACTCCTCGTAGGTCACAAAAAATGAAAAATAGAAAAGTTGTGGTAATAGTGATATTCGTTTCCCAATGTGTTTAGGACGTATTACAAATAATTTGTGTGATTGTTTCTAATTAAAAGGATGCCGTTGTGTTGGCCATTCATGTGCAGCTATTTGAGGAAGCAACATTTTCTAATTGCTAAATGTGCATACCAGAGAATGAGGATAATCCACAGAGATACGTTATCACATTACTACTTCACATGACATCAAGTTGTCCACGATTATTATACTAATGCGCAGCGAATTTCCTTTAAAAAAAAACAGTATTCCGTCAAATTTAGCTTATAAAACTCATCCAACTCGCTTTATGTCTGACGAACATAGCGCATTCGACGCTATTCACCTATCTACCCAGGTGAAATTGAAACTGGACATTCGTTTGACGTTATCCCTTTTGAATGAGCAGCGCAGGACATTGAGCTATGCTAAGATATAATTTCGGGCTTTATCTCGTAAACTCGTAATGACATGCAAATCGACGGTTTTTGGTGGCCTTGAAAGTTTGCTCACTCAAATAAAATGCTATCAGTAACATAACACTGAAAGCTGCAACCGAATTATACTAACTCTAATCAAAATTCGGAGCTTTAAAAACTAAATAGTTCGGTCGAAGTTACTTTCGGTTCGACTGTAGCGAGCCTTTGCGCAGTGCTCTGTTACTCATCTATGCGCTTGAACCACGGTTGAATATCTGTACTGATAACAGGGGACTTTAAGTTAATTTATTAGCCACAGCATTGGAAAAGGTGAATAAGAGTGGTGAACGAGAGACTGCATTCAACTTATTAGGGGGAAGTGGCCCTATTTGCTGTCCATTACTTATCAACTCCTCGTAGCCTTAAGAGTGACCAAGGGATGAGTCTACTAATCGATGAGTCACGGATTTGCCACCCCATGAATTTTATCAGATGCGCGGTGGTACTGAATCCCAAAAGGGTTGACCAATTATACCATGCTTGCCGGCACTTCGAAGTAGCTTGGCTTTTGGAACAAAGTGTATACTCGATTGAAAATTCCCATATTTAACACTACCAGGAAATCTGAAGAATATGTGAATCATGTATGAAGGTATATGGATGAAGGTCCTGCGACTTTTGAAGACTAGGATCAACTTCAACTACGATCTCCTCTACTTCGCCTTTATTAGTGCTGATTTAAAGCAAGCTAATACACAATTACACACAATTCAACGATCGTGTTCAGGCTGCTCGCCGAAAAAGGGACAATGACCAGAAGTTGAGGCTGCCGTCAACCCATCCAATTGGACGAAACTATCGTCTTTTCCTGCTGATAGGGCTGAGTGTTACCAACCTCGGCAGCACCTATCTTTCCCAGATTCAGAACTGCATTTTGTCAGGACTCTTTCCGCCACGATAAATGAGCGGCGTTTCTTTAACAGAATTTCAGTGAACCGTGCAGTAAGACAAGTATTGTTTCAGTCCACTAAAGCTCTTCAGCTAGCTAACTGAATACAACTCTCAAAAATAAGACGCTATGAGCAACCGTATATGGAAAACAGGAAAAATTGTAAAACATCAGGAATTCTCTGTGGCTATTGGAGACACTATATATATGAACAAGAAAAAGGCTGAATCCCGGCACAGTACACATGTTTGTCAATTTTATCAGAAGAGGGGATGGAGTATGCAACGTAGATCAGGTAATACGAATTTAGCAAAAGGTCGCCTAAACTTGAGAATTTGATCTAAAATTCTGATCCAAAAGGCAATCAAAGAGCGAAAGATGTTGTTATGTGATGTGCTTTTGACGCGGCAGGTGAGGCAAATCTGCCAACGTGGTTCTGATCTTTGATTTTCTTTGCACTGATTTTACGAGACCCACTTCCACTAGGGCTCATACGACTATAAGGGCATGTAAAATACTTCATAGTGCTTTTCCTTGAGACTTTAGATGCACATTCACATACTCACCTTGAAGGTGCAAAGCGATTGCCTCTAGCTGATGATCAACCCATTCAAAAATTTCTTCTTCGCCCTCGTCTTTGAAAATGAGGGTACTTTCACCCCCTTACTGCAGTGTGACAAGTTTCTCACCAGCGACGATTTGAAAACTAGAGGTTTGAAGACCTTACTTATTTAAATCCCTATTTAATCAGTGACGGACTCGTGGGGTATCTTTTAGACAGCAAGTTGTACACCACACACACAGAAGTATGTGGATAAGTAGGCTGGAATATTTTCACAAAATTCTACGGCATACACTACTGAATAAGAAAAGTCACCAGCACCGACAAATCAGCAGAATTCAGAGCACCATTGAGGTCAAGGAATGTCGAAATTGTGGGTCATCTTCGCATGTGACGTAATCATAACACCTGATGAAATGTAGGATGTGGTCGGTGCAGCATCCACCCGGTTGAAATCCCGCTTGATGCTTCCGGGTCAGGGATTCGCGCTTGACATTGGGTGCCGGCATACCACTGACTCCGGAAACATTGATACTACATAAATGAAGCCCATATCAATGCACAAGGAATGCAGCGCGCAAACAACAGCCACGTCCTTTCCTGCTTGCTTTAGTACGCGAAAACCAAAGGCGGGTAATTGGAAAAAATTCCGTGTTTTGAGAGCAGTCTTCGAAATTCTTGGGGCACCACGTGAAGTTGAACTCTCAGAAGCTGCAGCTAAGCGCAATGCATCGCATACAACCGGTTGGTCCTAGTGCTGCGATCTACTCTAAACAAAGACATCATGCTCCTGCTGCCCAGGTCGTGACATACAGCACTACGCTATCTGTCCGCTGACTTAGTCATTCACTTCATCTAAATGTATGCATGATATTGCATATTACGCCAGATCCACAACCGCCGATAGTTTGCTTGTGTGAGGTTCCCTAAGACTCACCTTAAATTCAAAACGGGTAAAGATGCCTAATTCCAGTTCTGCAATTTTCGTGTTTCATTTCACTTTGCTATTTCCACTGCGCCGTTTACATGCTTTTTGACTAGTAAAAAGGACGGAGCCTTCCTCGGAGGCGACTACACTCCAGGTGAAGCAGATCAAGCACCATTAGACTAGTTTCGTAGTCCACAGATCTAAGGCCGGCAACCATTTTCGTCCTTCCTGCGTCCGGAGTAGAGAAATTGGTTGGTACTTTCAAGAACCGGTCTGACATAGAGGATTTATAGAGTATTTAGAAGTCTATGCAAGCAATTTGGGGAAGGTGCACCGAATGTATTTTGAGACGATTTCATATGGTGCAGCGAGAAGTACATGTTCGAACAGGGTAATATTCTCACATCCTTTTGGGCATCCATCCCCGTGATGCCTTCTGATCCATTCTGACCATGCACGACAAAAGGCGTTCACTAAGTCTCCTCCGAATGGCATATGGACGCACTTTTCCTCATTCAGAGTAAGGAGAGTAAGGTAGCTGGGTCCTGTATTAGGTATGCTGAGTTACCGCTTGTCAAGAGGAGTGCTTAATTCGGAGTGGCAAAAAGTGGGACAAAAAGGATTGAGGAACGTTACGAAATATTTGGGTGCTGTTGACACTGTTACCCGCCTGGGATGGAGTCTGAGTGACCCTTTGTGTGTGTCAGACGTAAATTTTAAGTCAAAACCTCCTTACTACCCGCAATTAGGGTCTGTGACCACCAAGTCTAACGCGCACGTGATTGGTCAGAAGTTCGGGCCAATTGCCGGTCCAGGACCAAGGTGAGTTCTCGTCACGGATTCACGGATTGATACACAGGATCGAGGCTTTTGCCCAAGTTTCCCGGGTCGGTTTTGTTCTTGTCGGTCAGTGGCTGTCGTTCACCTGAAAGGCACAAGTGAAAAAAGGGTGTAGCACTGCTCTTTATGTTCTCAGCGCGGGGCAGTGTGCTCGCCAGCGCGAGGATTCGCATAAATAAATGTCTAATAGTGCTTTAAATTGGGTTCGAGAAGGAGCGTGTACAACCGTCGGAGGGAGCTCATTCGACGCACCTACTACCCGAAATGAGAAATCTTTTTATCTGGGAATGTGTGCACCCTGAGCTTGAAACCAGCGCGAGCGCATAAATAAATGTCTAATAGTGCTTTAAATTGGGTTCGAGAAGGAGCGTGTACAACCGTCGGAGGAAGGTCATTCCATCCATGTACTACCCGAAATGAAAAAAAGTTTTGTCTAA